GTGCCATAAGAAGGGGCCAAAGTAGAATACTGTATCGAGACCACCTGCTAAGGGCACATTATGGCAAAACGAAGTGTTTGTAGCAACATTAGCAGTAATCGTAAGTTTGAATTTGACAAAACACGTTTTCTGCAGAACAATGAACGAATATACAAAATTAGAACATAGTATACGCATTAAAACGAAATCAGGCCATGAATGATGCTAAACAGTAGAAATGAAAAAAATTCAAAAAGTTGTAATACATTAAGTGTGCAAAACGAAACAAAACTATAAAAAGAAACAGTATCTAGTTCAATTTTTGGTTAACTTCCTGGCAGTGCTCTTAGTCTTTTTCTCTCTCCACACACTCAATTAGATTTTTAGGCACATATCTTTGGCCCCACGTTAACTTGAGCTTTCCACTCACAGCATAGATTTTAAGTTCCTTATTGGTTTTGCTTTTTGCTTCTTGGCTGCACTGACATGTACTGCTACACACTTCATTTTCCTACTAAAATCTGTCGCATGAAAGGCCTATATTCAGAAATAGCTATCTATATTGTGGGTGCCTACTCCATTACAGAAAGTACATAGAAGCGGCCTAGAATGGCAAGCTTTAGTTTGCATATCATAGTTTAGTGAAAGAGAAATATAAAAAAATATTGCTTCATACTGATTGTTATGTGATGCATTGAGCCTGTTGACTTTTCTATGTGGTATAAAGACGTCATGTATAGGACGTGAATGTGGTTTCTATTTCACTAATTTGTTAGTGCTTTCTGCTACCACCTATTGAAATCTTCCAGTCATTACACATGAAGACCACATGATTTATTTAGTGTATAGAATTATATGCTAAGAGCAAATGCAACTTCACAGCATCATTATAACAAAGCGAATGTCTGAAGTAATAACTGTAGTAGAAATTATTCCGAATGGGAAAGTTTAAACTAAAACGCCAGCAACTAACTAAATATCCGGCCTGTCTTATCAAACGAAGTATAGCCGCCTCCAGAAACTGTTCCGAGAATTTGACACGCTGGGAATATATATGGGTCATAAAATTGCACGTGCTCGAAAAGACTCAGTGCGTGTTTTATTCGGGCAGCAGGTGGAGTACATGCAGATTGAATAGTAGCGTGAAAACAAAAACTACATATTATGCAAAAAAGTAGCCCGATGCGCTTTATACTGGCATGAATGTCGAACAGAGCCGAAGAGAAGAACCAGCACGACATCATTAGCACTTTCGTGTACGCTTTGCACAAACGTAGAATGCGAAGTTTGTTCGCCAATGCGTGTAAGTACGGTATCAGACTTATTGAAAGCCATTCACTGTGTGTGCGCCGCTTTGCGCTTGATAGCGACGTTTACTCGACGTCATGCGAAGATGGGTGACATTCGCTCTGATCACTGCTGCATTAGTCGCTAATCACGCAAGTGCCTTATCGCTTCTTTGTTATAGTCATTTATGATATGCCTTGTTACAGGAGAGTTTCGTAATTGTGCCTCACTATAGTTGACAACCCGGGAGGTCCTCATAGGACAGAATGTTTTGCAACCACATCAGTAAACTTTACAAGCACTGGCAGAAGGGTCCTAATGCGCGTTTTGTCAGGCTTTGATTCCTTGAAATCAATGCTTTCGGAAGCTTTTAGCAGCTCACTTCCTTCTAGGAAAAATTTTTAAATGCACTGATATTTTACGTTTTGTCTGAGAGGATGCCGTAATATCATAGCATTGTCGTCAAACCTACAATGCAGAATATGCTAGGATAACGCTAGATAGTTTACACACTTAGCAATTTTTGCCGGGCAGGGCTTTTTTGTGTTTGGCATGCGCTGCTGTAATACTAAAATTTCTCGGAAAGTGTACAGCTACATTTCGTCAGTGCATCATACTTTGATATTCTGGTGAAATGACAGATCACATTTTGCAGGTACGTTTGCTGCAAATGACGTATAACCTCGTAGATCGTAACATTAGTGGCGAAAATTAACTGTACATTCCATACATACAAAATTATCTTAGGAAAATCTAGAAGACTTAGTTTCATGAAGTTGCTTGCTGCCTAAAAATAAACTCCTACGAATTTTATTTATTCGTACCACTAACATGTGTTTTTTTTTAGTTCACTAATATATTTTGTCGTTCAATTCAGAAGGCTGCTCTTAGGCGTATTGATGTTTATCAAAGAACCGAAAACACACGCTCGTTCACGCATAAAGTGTACGCAACAGAAGTGTATTCCTCCCTGAAACATTTAATGCGTGATATTCCGGCATTCACAGGTGTACTGTGGCCAATCGAGATCATCCGACAGCCGTTCAGGATCAGGTGCGAAGCAAGACTTCTTTTAAAATACCTACTCGTAGTTGTTAGTATGTATTAGGTAATAGAATGTTTTGACATTGTGTAACTTTTTTTCTATTTTAATGATGCAATAACTTTTAGTAACTCAGTTACAGCACCGTTTTATGTCAACAGAGTATCCGCTCGACTCTTTCACAGCCAGTAACAAAGGGGTAAGCAAATAGGCTTCTATAAAGAATGAGTATACTCACTGAAGCCTCCAGCTGGGTTGTCTTTTACGCCTATTGCTTAGCGTAGGACTTGACTAAGTCATATTGTGTGGTGACTTGACTACCAACCACCGCAACTAAAACGACACATCGCCTAATCTAATTGATAGCGTACACCACTACAACTTGCCTCATCACCCGAAATGCGGGATAAAGCATTCATACTCGCGAGGCTACCCGTGAAGCACGAGCACGCAGAATGGCCTCAACTTCAGAGTGCCTCAATATCTAATACCATTTGCGTAGTGCCACAGGGTAGTAATAGTTAGTATTCAACCTAATGTGATTTTTCACCTATGCCTCGAGAACTCCCACTGAGAAATGCGCACTCTTAGAATGCTATAAAGAAAAACATATCCAATTCAGTATCTGCATTTTAGACCTACAGCGCATATAATTCAATACGAGTACTCCGGAATACTTTTTTGGGCGTCTCCGCCAGGCACTCAATAGCGGTTTTTGGCAAGCTACTGAAACATGTTACGGAAAGGTGGCAACACGGAACTGGCTGACGAGTGCGCATGCACGAACACTGTACGCGCATACGAAAAGGAGCCGTGTCGTATTTGCGTTATGTGTTTCCATAACGTCTTTCCTTAGCTTGCTAAAAAGCTCTAGTCATACTGAAACAAAAGGGGATCGTGCTAGAATGTGAGTGACTCGGCTAAATGACGATTGTGAGAAAGTGTTGAACAGAGTGTAATAGAGAAAAACTACTGAATATCAGTGCATGACACTTCTTTTTCCAGAATGCGGTCGATCGGAACCATTGGGTCGAATCATCAATGGCGACAAAATCGACAAGTTACACATACCATGGATTGTAAGAAACACTACACGCGCTTTGCGAGCTTACTTATTAGCACGTTTTTTTCTTTCTTTTTATCAATGTGCTATTCAGAGAAAACAATAATACATTGTATTGAACTTGAGCATGGAATGAACAGCCGCAGCCATGTGTGTTTATTTTAATAATTAGAATTACACCAGCTGTTCAGCTCTAAGCTTTAAACGCCTAGGCATACTTTGATAGGTGAGCGCACTTTCCCAACTTCGGCGATAAAGGGTTTCGAACATTTGGCCTTCAATCGTGTAATACTTAAAGAATTTCGGTTCATAATTTGTGTGCTTCAATATCAATATAGGGTATTTGAAGTAAAATTGTAGATAAACACCTTTGATCATGCTAAACGTTTGCTTAGCTGTTACAGAGACCAGTGTGTATACTAGTCAAGCCAAGTTTTATGTTACCTTTAATTTACCTTGATGGTGTAAACGCATAATAAGGTTCTGTCGAGATTTTGAAAGACCATAGATGACCTTTGTTTTTACATCAGCCAGTGTCAAGTAGCACTGCTCATAGCCCCTGTGAAGGAAACTGAATTATGGATAGTGTCATCTACTACACAGGTGTTACCTGTTATGAACATTTGCAAAGAAATACCGAAAGTTGTTTGGCATGCGCTCCTACAAGAGGAATTCATTGGATGATGAACTATGATGAAAAGAAGCAGCCGCAGTCTCGATTCTGAAATATTGCATCTCTGCTAACGTTCATACTGAGTTATGATGTATGTAATAATGTATACAGGATGTTTCACGTGTCCCAAAATCCTTAAAAAACAAAATGGGCTGTTTTCACGACTCTGTCATAGATTTTTTTGTAGAGGCACACACTTTAAAACGAGTAGGAGGATCTAATTACGGAGACGAATAAAAAAGAAAGACGGGTAAGTTGGGCCAGTTGGTGAGGATTAATCGTGAACTTACCGCGCAACACCAGAAAAATTACGGGACAGGGAAGGAGCAAAAGAGAAAGAAAAGACGGCTATTTTGCTCCTTCCCTGTCCTGTATCTTTTCTGGTGTTGCGCTGTAAGCTCACGACGGATAAAAAAACTAGGTAATTTGTGATTAGTGAATGCATCTGACGGGGTCGATTGCAAAGGTGCTTGTCACTATTATATTTCACAATGCAGTAGCTGGCAATTTTTATGGAGCAACAAGATCTGACTAATTTCGCGTGAAATTTGAAATCGAAACTTCTGCTAGATCTCCACTGCCATACTTTTGTGAAACGCTCCTCTTTTCTACTGAAATGCAATGTATTCGTCTACTGTTTAATTCAAGCAATGCATAGTGACAATATTTGCATCCAGTACTCGTTATGTCAATCTGCTGCTACAAAACAAAATGTAAAACGCAAATACTCGTGTGCCTGCATTTTATATTTTTTGTAGCGGCAAACAATTGAAAATGAGTTGAGGCATTCCAATCTGCATAATCTCAGATTCATGTTATGGTTCAACTTTCACTTCTAAACCATCAATTATGCATATCTTTGGCAGACATGGAGTGTGAAACTTGAATAGTGTCTTTTTTTATCAAATTCCTTGCCTTATTGACGTGTTTCATTCTTTCCTTCTGGTATGGGTGAGCTCGATTTCAATAAACGAGGATGGCAGAAGTGAAATGCTACAATGCGGCGGAAGCATATTATCAAACAACATCATACTAACAGCGGCACACTGTCTGAAACGCACGTGAGTAGCACACATATCTGACCGGAATCGTACAAGCTAGCTTTGATGTAGATTAAGATGCAGTGCTAGCTATTTGTTATTGCTTACTCCTACTGAATAAATGACAGACATCATAGAATGCTGCTCTAGAGATAATTATCGTGAAGCATGGTGCCTTTTATGTAAAGTCAGAAGTGAAACAGGAGTTTCCCTCATCTTTGAACACGAGCTTCCAGCTTTCTACATTGCTAAGACATAACTCATAGCTTCACTGCATTCATCATCAGCAGCAGCCCAACTTCAGCCGGTGTGGAGAAAGTGTCCTCACCATAATTCTCCTAATTACCCACTCTTGTACTTGCTTAGCCCCCGTCACCCCCGCAGGCTCCTTGATCTCGCTGTAGAATTGTGAATTGGGGCTTCTGAATCATGTAAATGGGCGTGAGTACTGCACGCGCTGAGACGCAAGAGTCGGAAGGCACCACTACAGATTATCAAAAGTTCACCAGAGAAATTTGATCTAAGTGAGTCAATGAATGTAGTAGCGTTGTATTCTCATGATTCCGCCAGCTGATAAGTATCTGGCCACCGTGAAATCATCGACTGATTTCGTTACACCACTGGACACAAGAAGTGACGTTATCTTTCTCTCTATTTCTCCGCTACAGGAACAATATTCTGGTTAAAGTGATTGTGTACTACAACACCAGTGAGGCATTACATGGACCTAAATCATATGTGAATCGGGTTATTGTTCATCCGCAATACAAAAACGTAAACATGGGCTATGACATCGCTTTGATGAGCGTAAGTATTAACACTAGCGTTTCTGCCGTCGAGTTGCGTATTAACGCGACAGCGTTAAAGCACTCGTTTGGCAAAAATTTGGCGATAGTGTCGTTGGTTGGGAGCTAAAAAATATTGTCGTTTTTATGACCAAGAAACTGAGAAAGATTCAGGTAAAATATATAAAAATTTCCGCCTCCGATTGAGGATATAACCTAGGTCGTTTGCGTGGAAAGCAAGTGTTCGACCACACAGCCACGTTTATGCTTAGAAATGATTTCGAACTTGCTATGCACCCTCCACGTGGAGGAGGAGAACAAGAACAAAAAGAGAGAAGGCAGGGAGAAGTACCAGGTGCATGCCCGGTTTGCTACCCTATGCTGGGGGAATGGGAAGGGGGAGCATAAAGATGAGGAAGGGAGAGAGGAAAGAGAAGAGAAAGAGACAAAAAAGGATTGTCAGTCTATGGGCTGACGCTTATGCAGCGGTGGCTTTACACAAATGTTAAAGGTGTTCAGATAGGCCTGCAGTTTTCAAAAAGTACAAAACGGCTTTGAATGCCTTTTGAGCCGACGAAAGACGAGGACGGTGTCCAATAGCATATAGAGAGTTGCCGATTGTTCGATTGTCGCAATGCGTCAGAAAGCTTCTGTCTTTCAGAGAAAAATCGATGCAACAGCATAGCAGATGGTCGATGTCTTCTTCGGTGCCGCAGATGTCGCAGTCCATATTGTCGGTCAATTCAATTAGAGTTGCATATGATTTTGTGAAGGCAACCCCCCCCCCCCCCCCAAAGGCAACAAAAAAATGGTCCCTATTCTACATGTTACACTGCAAATGTCGTCGAAAGACAATTGTCTCGCGTCTGGAGAGAGTGAACAAAACGTTTATTTGATGTTCTGCGCAGGAAAATAGGTGAATGGTATTCTGGAGGCTCTGCGTTAGAGTGCCTTGAGCGTGTAGCGTAGTCGAACGAGCACATCTAGGCACGTTATACACGATCGAGTGCCATCTGGTAGTTATCTTCGAAAACGAAGCAAGGCGTGCGGCCCACGGAAAAAGGCACGCGCCCATCTCAGAGGTGATAAGGTGCAGAACGCAAAGCGACTAGCAGGTGTCACCACCGTGTTGTCTTAGCAAAACGTTCGAAACAATTACCTTTTTGAGCACCGCGTTACACAGTCAGCGCAGCGTGATAAACGCTGCGGTCCTTAGAATTACTTGTGTGTGACTTCTCTAGTATAAAGGCACACATACAAAACATCTACGTGTTGTTATGGTGCCTCAGATATGCAGCAATAATTGCTTTTTAATCGACAATCGCACAAGTATGAACGCCGTCTTTTGAGCAATATTGGTGGGCCCTGCGGATGGGGTTGGGTGTTAGGTGCCGTTGAAGGTATTGTTAAAGGCGGACAAACAGACAAACGTACAGACAGACAGACAGACAGACAGACAGACAGACAGACAGGCAGACAGGCAGGCAGGCAGGCAGGCAGGCAGACAGACAGACAGACAGACAGACAGACAGACAGACAGACAGACAGACAGACAGACAGACAGACAGACCAAAATTTTTCCGTCGAAGGTCTCCAGAAAGACTAACGTCTTAAAAAGCGAAGCTTCATGCCAACGAATTCTGGATGAAGGTTGAAGTTATGACAAAGGTTTATTTGATAGAATCTCGTATGTCTTATGCTTGGGGTGTTCCACTCTAGAAGGCACAGACTACGTGCCAGGTGACCAAGTTGCTTTGCAGCGTCTGTTCATGTCAAAGGAATCGGGAAAGTGTGCTCTTCTTGATGCGATGTACGAGCCACGTTGCCTGCGGATTTATTGCCACTGATCCCACAATGACCAGGCAGCCACTGAAAATTGACCACGTGACCGGTTTCTGTGACATGGTGAAGAAGCTTGACAACCTCGTGTGTTAACTATTCGAGGCAAGCCTCGAAGGACTGACTGCATACTCTGTATGGCCGGTTTCGAGTCGGAAAACACAGCCCATTTACTCGGTCTCTGGGATTTGATGTATTCTAGGGCACCACGCACAGCCGAAATTTCTGCCGACGTAGACGTAGTGACGTATGACAGCTTGATCCGCAGAGTGATTCCTCTAGCAGGAATCACCACCGCACCGCCAGAACCAGTCACTGTGGTTGAACTATTGGTGTGCATGTGAACGTGGGTATTGTGCGATTCGGGCAAGAGGTGCAAACTCCATTGTTTTATGGCAGACGAAAGAAAATTTGGTTCTTCTGTATTGCTGGAATTAAAAGACGTACTTGCGAAAGTGTCAGACACCACGAAGGATACACCAATTTCTCCGCAGGCGTAACACCTGACGTAAACAATGCACGATGCGCATAGACAATTGCACTAAATTTCGTGCGGGGCCTCTCGGTAGCGAGAGTTGGCAAGTGGTGGAAAGCATTCTTAGCGTGTTGCCTGAGGTACGTGCGCATTTTTTTTAGTGGTGATGTGCGTCACAATCGAGTAGTCCTGTGCCACGTGGTCCTAAAGAAGTGCGTGCCATAAAGTGTGCGCCTTTTTGTAGTGGGCGGTCAGCTTCACCACACATTAAGCAGGACATTCAAGCTTGGGTACTTTTCACTGCCTTGGACCATCAGCACTTCATTAGCACTAAAAGTAAAGTTTCAATTTACCCATAGCAGTATAGCTGTTGAGCATTGTTTATCACCAGCTAATATATTGATGCAAGGCAGTGGAACAATCTTATCAGGGTAATATATGTGTGGCAGATTATGTGTGGCAGATAAGGATGAAGATGTTGTCTGCGTGCTCAGTACTGATACTGGCCCAAACTCTTACTGAGGTGAAGTTTAGTGACAAGGAGCATCCTACATGTTGCGCATTAAACTCAGAGAAAGTATGGTGGTAAGACGAGAAGCTTGACAGATTGTGCCATAAATATTATAGGTTTACACTTAAATTTCTGGGAAAGAGATTGCAGTTTCTAGTTCCAGCCTACAGTCGAATTATGTTAATATTTGAGATTTACAATTTCTTATTTTTTAGCCACAATCAATACATTCGTTACAAGAATGAAGAATAGGAATAACTAAATGGGCAGCCATATATGGGTAAGATAGCATGTTAAAAGCTGCATTATTGGGCGGGTCTCCAGAATATCCTAAATATTGGCTTTACGGCACGTCACTTATCCTCCTGAATATTTTGCAATACCGAACCTTACCTGAACATCAGAACCGTGTAAACGTGAGCACGTTGATTTGCATTCAAGGCAAAAAAAAAGTGCGGAAAAAACGAGGAAGAGACATATAGATGAAACCGGCCTATAGCATGAACATTTCATATTAGCTTGAACCGGTGTCATGTCACTATACTTTATTAGCTTATACCAGTGTCAAAGTCGCGCATGTTCTTCATAGAGTCAATTATTTTTGATTGGCTTATTCAAGCCGAGTTCGCAAAGTAGCCAACCACTGTTAATAGCTTCGATCTCGGCCTGGAATAATTGTAATCAACAGTGCATGGGGCGACTTGGTTGGAGGACGATTCGGGCGTGAAAAGTAACAGTCTTAACATTATTTTAGCAGCGAAGCTGTTAAGCAAACGATTTGTTGTCAGTTCATGGCTAAAAACTGTCGTGCTTTAACGCGTAGAGGCCACTGTGTGACTCATACGAAAACTAGATCATCATCAACAGGTAGGTTCCGCAGAAATTGTGTACATCCCGCTATTCTACACCGATCCACTAATGTGAACGAGGCAATAGTCCGCCCAACATGTGTCTGTGAAGCAACTGAGGTGTGCTGGAAACCCCTCTTACGTACAACGAGAGAACACTATTGAAATGTAAAGGCAATAACAGCGGCTGTGAGAAGATGCCGGTTATGAACAGTCGGCACAAAAGCCGATGCGCTCGTGAACGCGCGTAGTACGAACGCTTGATTTACAGCGCGTACGTCTGCCTCCAAAGTAAGAAGAAACACGTCGAAAAAGTGGCCGTCTCTTTTTTTGTGTGTGTCTTGATAGTCCTCTGCTCTGAGAATCGGCATAGAAATAACCTAGCCCCGTCCGCATAAATTCTATAATGACAACCTAGAAGCAACATAAAATTTCAGTCACCAAGTAAAGTTCTAGAAACAACTTGAGAGTCCACCAGATTGGTCTTCACAATCATCCAGTTTCCATGCTTGCGATGAGCTGCAAAGCATGACACCGACCACAAGAACAACAAACAACTTGAAGTGATTCACAAGCTTGAAGACTTACCAAGTGGCCCCTATCGCCGCCTTAGTAGCATTTATTGTATATATATATATATATATATATATATATATATATATATATATATATATATATATAAACGCAAGGAAAAAGACAATCCAGGAAAGTTCTCACTCTTGAGCGCGTGGCCTTAACCACTCAGGCATGAAGGAGTACCTGCTTCAAAGTTCACATGGCAAGCTATTTGTATCTACCACTTACCGCTGGTGGTGCCGATATCGGGGGACTTATCAACATGTTTCCTGCATTACCAGAGAGATGGCACAACGAGCGCGAGCGGCGCCTAGCTCGTTCACCTGCGCAGACTTTTCTTCTACGCGTACTTCACTCCGCGACGGGGTGGGTGGGGTAAGCGCTCGTGCGCTGGCGCTTATCCTGCAGTGGGGGAGAATCATGCGCCTTCGGGAGGAAAGAAATAAGCGGAAGAACAGAGAGGTTAGCCAGTTCGTGCAATTTCAGCTTGCACTGGAACGAATGCGTTGTAGTTGCCGTGTGCACAAAAGTCAGTTCGCTTGCTACACAGGCCCCGTTTGCGAAAAGAGCAAGCTTTTCACACGCAGCGAAGCAACAACTGGGACACTCTTTAGTTTACACTCATTTGTACCAGTGATTCCAATAATAGTATGGAAATCTTAGAGATGTGGTTTGAGGACAACCTTAGCGACATTACGGCGCGCACACAGTGAACGGGAAAGCGAAAGACGAGGAGACGAATAAGCATGAACTCACAACTCAGTTTATTGAAATAAATACACGAAATATATATCCCAGAGTAGCTCAAGAGTGCATGTACATAAAACAAAACGAAATAAAAGCAAAAGGAAGAATAATAACACACCATTAGAGAAATTTTTATATTAGTAGTATTTAAAAGTGCAGAAAATTATGAAAGTCAGGTATGGCTCAAAAAAGTGAACTTCTTCTCAGTTAGTGAAATGGATGGGCTGCTGTCACTTTTTGTGTCTCTCGTTTCACCATTCACTGTGTGCGTGCCGAAACGTTACCAAAAAGGACCTGTGATTGCGTTTCGTACGTTGTTTTTTTTTTTAAACAGAACGTTAAGTATCGAGCTGTGCACGTTGTTAGTTCGCTCTCATCCTGTGTGTGTTGTTTTCGAGCGTCATTCGTGTGTGAGCAGAGCGCTGAACGTTACTGCTCTGCTTGACTTTCTCAACTTTACATCCCAAGATGTTGCTGTCGAGCTCATTGCTTTGCCCTTGCAGCAAGACTGACTTTTTTTTTCTTATTCGTAGTTGGTGGAGCCACTTCGTTATGACGCATACGTAAGGCCTATCTGTTTACCTAAAAAAGCCAGAACACTTGATGAAACGCCTGCTTTGGCTTCAGGCTGGGGATACACCAATCCAGGTAAATTATTTACCGTGTGCATCTCGAGTACTCTAATAAACGATGTAGACTGGAAATAAATAGTAGACAAATAAAGTATACTACCAAAATCAGGCTAAGTATGTCCCACAAAAATGCAGAGCATTCCGAGCACTATATTTGATATGTCATTTGCGACAAATACACGACCACCACAAAAGTTATAAACAACATTAACGTATTCAGATAAAAAAAGTTAGCATTTTCAGGTGCAATACCTCTCTAAAGACACTACTTTTTTTAATAAAATGCACACGTATTTCTCATTTAGTCCTTGCTTTTACTGTTCCACATTTATTTTGACAACCGTGCTATGATTCTTTTTTCTTGCATCTCAGGCATGTGTTTCCAGTGCATTTTGCGTCATAAAAACGCTTGAGTGTTGTCATGTCACCACCATGATTAATCCAAAACTGTATGTTATTTGTGTCCTAAGTTATGCCTTGTTTGAGTCTTAATTTAGAAATTATAAATGGTATATTGCTTGCTAATAACCAGCACTAAAGCATCACAATATAGGTGTTTACTATTCAGGTCACAAGAAATTGTGGCATAAGCCAAAGTTCGCCACCTGTTCTCGTACCATTTCGCGTAACAATGCCGCATAAATTGGTAACAAAATATAGAGAAATATTGTAGCATCGTTTGAAAACGTAGTCTCTGTTTCCTAAAGCAACACAGTTTTCACCGCGAGCTGATGAATATTCTGCTTGAGTGTGGCTCATCATGATTATCTAAGAGCCCTAAGAAGAACAGAAGTGTATTTTCAGACTGTTGTTACAGTATGCTCGCATCATAATCGGCCCAATTGCAGGGTAGTGGTCAGCTTCATACTGGGCCAATCTACCCGGTCCTGTGCATTCTGTGACCTCGTTAAACGCGCAAACTTCTTTATTTCTGCCCACTGAACTTTCTGTACCTTCCTTGCTAATTTGCTTTCTCTTGAAATACAGTTTTGTACTTTTATATTACGAGCTATATATAATCGCTTGTGAAGATTTCCCGTCGCCCATTTCTTCTTGATTGCGACTAAGTCATGGTACTTGACACCTGTCTGTTACCTGGTCCACTCTGATCGTTTCATGTTCCTTACGCCTGCCACTTTCATTTTCATTGCTCGCTGCATCGTACTTGAGTTGAGACGTCGTAGTTTGTCTCCGGGTGATAAGTACCGGTAATATGCACTTGTTATACAACTTCCTCTGGGATGATTGTTGGGAACTACCATTAATAATTTACCCCATCACGGTGGTCTGGTGGCTATGGCTCTCGGCTGCTGACTCGCAGGTCAGCAGCCGAGAATCTCGGCTGGGGCGGCTGCATTTCCGATACAGGAGAAGGTATTTGAGGCCCGTGGGCTTACACTTGCGTGCACGTTAAAGAACCCCCGGAGGTCGAAATTTCCGGAGCCCTCCACTACAGCATCTGCCATATTCCTATGCTGGTTCGTGGACGTTGAAGGTACAATAAAGAGGGAAAATGATAATCAAGATGGGAGCCGGCCGCTGAAAACAACGTAGTGGGATAATCAGGGTAACAGTGAGAGTGCCTCACACAGGCTGGCCGACGTTTCGATAGGAGGACCTATATTTCACAAGAGCACCCTGTCATCCTTGGCGTGTTAGTTTTAAAGGGGTTAGTAGTGAAGTCATCTCCTGCAGCGGTGGCACATGTCCCTGTTAATAATCGCCGTCTGAAGAGAAAAAGAAACAATAAAACAGAAAAGTGCCATTCTCGCTTTATTTAAACTCGACTGCACTCCTCTGATTTATAGGTTTTTTTTTCTTTCAGGCAGCGATTACTAAATGGGACACGCGCCACCTCCAGGAGAGGACATCACTACTAACCCTTTTAAAACTAACACGCCAAGGGTGGCACGGTGCTTTTGAGAAGGATAGGTCTTCCTATTAAAACGTCGGCCAGCCTGTCTGAGGCACTTCCACTGTTCCGTGCGTGACATCAGAAATTTCAAAATGTATTTTTGTTATTTTCGCGGCGCTGGCTTGAAGAAGTTTTGTGAAGCTTCGTAGTCTAAGTCTGTGGCACTCACAAATTACAAAGTACTTTCTTTGTATTGAGTGGGAACTACGTGAGACTCAGTAGATTCTTTCGAAATTCCTCACGTCGTGGTGTGCGGTGCGAAATCTCAAGGTGGCGTGGCTGCCCACACTTTCTTTTTTCGCGCATTTTCTCGCTTAATAAGTGCCGTATAGCAGTAAGAGTGGTGTTTTTTGGATTGTAATATTGCAATTCGCTAATACGAAAAAATTATCTTTTTGCTCTTTAGTGTTTCATATGCTGTGTTCTGTAATTGAATGGATGCCTCGGTTCTTGCAGCAGGCAACCCTTCGCGAAACTTGCTTTATGTAGTGCTGAAGGTATTACCAGACCAGAAATGCAAGTCCGCATTGTATGATACAGAAGCTTGGAAAGTCAGCAGCTCAATGTTACTGTGTACTCACACTCCTGGAAAGGATATCTGCATGGTAAGATAAACAAGCGAAACTTTATTAAACTGTAATAAGAGGGGAGCTAGTTAAGCCCCCATTTCACCGGTTCGCATGAACAGCAGAAAGCACGTGTGTGCTATAAAAAGTGAGAAGGAGGAGGAGGAATAGAAGGTGGAGAAGGAGGGGGGACAGAGAGGTTAGCAGAAAGTGAGTATATGCCAGGTGGCCTATAGGATAGCACAGCTCTAAATAGAATAGGTATAGTATTGTAAAGATAGTATAGTATTCTACCGACTGCGAAAGGAAGCGACTGTGGTGAAGAAAAACGCAGGAGAGAAAGCAAAGGTGGCTTGTGTTACAAAGAGGATAAACGTGTCCAGCAGCTCCAAGCATAGCATAGTCATTGATATTTATACTCAAGGAAAGGAATAGAAAAGTGGGGGTGAGGTATTAGGAAATGCGCAGAGGAGGGTAAAGAACAAACTAGTCGTGTATAGTTTGGTTTAGCAAGAGGGTGAGAGAGGAACGTGGTGGTAAAGAAGCTGGATCTTGGAGTGAGAAGCAGGACAAGGAGGATGACGCACGGAGTTACTGTATAAAACCATCTACTATCAACAGAAAAGTTCTACGAGACGCGAACTGTCCGATAAGAATATTTGACACTTTGTCCGGGAACGTAATTTCGAAATAAATGTTCCACACTGCGCTTGACATTTCAACCACTACACACAATAGCTTGATTACAAGCGTTAGGCGTCGATATGGCAGAAATGTGCATTTTTTGGATCCAGCGTCCTGCAAACTTTTGCTGTTGATAGTAAACTGTCGCTCAGAAAGGTGGGAAAGAGAAGTGAAGGTAGTAGCAGTGATGTGATGGTCAAGAGGAGGAAAAGAAGAGGGCAACACAAGACTAGGGTGAATATGAGTTTTAGGAAGGTGATGTGCAAAGAAAAAAGGAGAGAGGAGAGTAAATAATTAAAAATCTTTGTATAATATAATTTAGGAAAGGAGTAAAAAAGGAAACTGAAAGTGAGGACGACTCCGGTAATGTTGAATAGGAGAGAAACACCAAGGAGAGATGGAAAACTATAGCCTAACTCAGCACCAAGCACGATATATCATACAGTTAGAATTGGTATGAGAAGGTCTAAAAGTGAGAGAAAGGGGCTGATAACCAGCTCGGGAGAAAAAAAAGTAGGAGAGCGACCAATACAGAAAGCGAGCCATGTAGAAGTTAAGAAAGATGACAGGAAGTAAAACGAAAAAAAATTACAATAAAAGATGAAAGAACGCAACCCGAGTTCTCGAACCGATGACGCTTTCTTGTCAAGTTTTCCGTTTGTTGAGGTTGCACAGACACGAAAGAGCGTTTGATTTTGTTTTTATTTTGGTGTAAACTGTGCGATTTCATGCGCGCCATGTTTGGGATTAAAGTAAATATTCAGCCTTTAGTAACTTTTTTCTCGTGAACATGTAATACCTACGCATAATTTCGTGCACTGCGCCGCATCACCAAGCGGCCACCATCACTTATATTTGCTACAATGGCATTGTTGTAGCTAGCATATGTTACTGGCAATAAGCTGCCACACCACGTAAGCGTCAACACAGAGTACTCAATTATACGATGTGGAACAACTATCGATTGCGATCGTTCGAAAAAGACAGATCACTTGTCGAGAAAACGAAGTATGTGGTGTTCATGCAATTGCAGAATTATATTTATTTTTACTCAGTTTGGTACTGTTTGCTTTGCCAGTAAATGCATTCACTTCAAATAGCAATTACATTTTCGAGATATTTGTTAATGTCTATATAATGAGATCTTACTCGCCCTTTTCCGTCATAGGTTCTAAATTCTAGAGAGAACGTTTTTTTTACAGAGGCTGGCAAGTGTTTCAAACCTTCTAAACTCTTCAGTATACGGGTATCTCAGGTAGCACGCAGCCTCAGGTAGACATCAATAAACAGGAATACTATTTATAAACACCGAGATAGGTAATGCGTGGCGTTTCACACTCAGGCTCTTGAACTAATGTGGTATGCAATTTTAAAAGTATTCGGACTTTCAATGTATAAAAAAACTGCAGTGTCATGTTCAGAGCGTCTCCTTATTTGGCTATCTAGCTGTTATGCGTCGGTGACAAACTCTTCCTTGCACGATCTCAATTTCAGGGTGATTCTGGTGGACCACTCACAGTTTGGAACGAAAATGGCCTATCGGAAGTAGTGGGCATTGTGTCGTTCACTTTTGAATGTGGTTCTCACCGTTACCCGAGCGGATTCACTCGCGTCTCGGCGTTCACCGAATGGATAGACAACTCTATAAAATCGCCCCAGAACTGGAAGGAGCTGCCTGTCGCCTTCATAGATTAGTTAACCAGCGTCGAATTTCCACCTATTTGTACTTCAGTGAACATTTTGGGCAACAAACACGTGAACAACATGGTGAACTTATCACAAACACGCCATAATGTATCAGTACAATGGAAGCCTAAATGACTAAAAATGTGACAGAAAATAAATTGCTTCTCACTTTTGACGTTTGCAGAGTATTTTTGTTCACATCAGAGCTGTTCGAGATAAAGTCGTGCCATGCAAAGTTACTAGAAAAGTACCAACATTACCTTAAGTGTTGAATTGCGCAAACAAGGAAGGGGCTAAAGGGAGAGATGATGACAGACAGAACGCACTACTACCAACAAAATAACAACAATCATTCTTAAGTAACATCATCAAGTTATAGTTTGTGCATCTAGTAGTCAGACCAAGGACGTGCATCCGGTTGTTGTCTTGTCTGTCGTCCCCTTCATCTTCAGTCTAAGTCCCAGACGACTTGCGCTAAGTTGTTCTGCCCGTGATAAAATAACTCGGACTGGCGACAGAACAATAATGACAGAAATAAAGAGAATGACAGAGCGTGTAGGTGGAAAAAAGTTGAAGTTCTTCGTGATGCGGCATTTGAAGTCGCATTTCCACGGTGCAAATCAGTGCCGCAACTACTCGGCTATCAAAACACGCTAGCAAACAATAGGATCACCGTAAAACAACGTAGCACATCCTTTTCGATTCCATTTCGGACATAAGCAAAGTACCTCCAGGGCTGTGTGAAACGCGCAGCACAGTCACAGCGAAAGCTGGAAGAACGGTTTTGCAAAGTCTTTTCTGAATACTTTTTGGGTAACCGCTACAAGCACGCTTGCCGTGTACCCGCTACGCCAAGAATAATCATGAATTCTGTGTAGCGGGCTGGCATTGACTACACTTACCTTCATCATTCTTCGCAAAAGCATGATGGCCTCTACACACTTGCAAGGAAACTTGTGCCAACTTTTCATAGAGAGGGGTGAAGAATTACGCACGAATTACGCATGCGCCACAGTAAATGGGTGATCAAGAAGAAGCCCTTGTATTGTGTTAGAGAATCCGATGAGCCTCTGCTTACGTAATTCGAATTACGCAAAACCTTTACAGCTCGTATTAACGCGATTCCTTTCCAAACATCAACCCTGCCTAAGGCAAGTTTGCGGACGAGTTCCAAGCGCTGGCATGGCTGAGTGGTATATTGGGCATGCACGCAGGGGACCCAGGTAAGAATCCCACTGCGTTTTTGGTGTTTTTTAAATTTACTGAGCTATTTTGTCAATTCGTGCGATAGCCTTTACGGCACCAGCGATGGTGGACCAGTACGTCACCTCACGTGACCCACGTTGTGATCTCATGAGAGCTTCCGCTGTAATAGGCAAATAATGGAAGACTCTAACTCACCGGGGGATGACAATCAGAAGGGCTTGCTTGTTCACTATAACACCTCTGCGAAGAAATGCAAGCTAATTTTTAATAGCGCGAATGTCTTGGGACGGGATAAGGCCAAAACGGCATGTGAAATCCTGGGAGCTTTGCAGGTGGCCTAGATAAGTGCGCCGATGATATGTCGGTGTATCATTCTAGAAAAGAGCTAGATTTTCTTTTATAGGCAGGGGTACGTTGTACATTCGCCATGTGGTCAACACTGTTTTCGCGCATGCACAGTAACACAAGGTAAATTCCTGTGGGAAGTCTCAGAGGGGAAGTTACGTCGAATTTGATAAGATAAGTTGTTATTCTGTGTTCGTCTTGTCTATTCCTATTCTTTTGTGTCGTGTCTATATTCGTTTGAGATTACATAATGTCTTACCAATCAGTTCACCACCATATGTTTCTCGAGCCTCCTGTAGTACGTATAGCATACAAAAGAGGTGCAAAATAAACTTGGGAGGGGGCAACAAAGGAGAGATGAAAAGGCAGAAGAGAGCGAGAGTGTGTGTGTCACAGCGTTAAGAGAAATAGAAAAAATATTGAAAGAAAATTAGAAAAACAAAAAGCCAAGTTACGAGAGAAATGCATATCATTAAAAAAAACAACAAGCATAGAAGCAGCGAGCAAGGTTTGAATAAAAAGTAAGAGGAAAAACAGAGACAGACAAAAGAAAGGAAATGAAGAGAAGCAATGTCAAAAGTAAATACAAAAAGCGAGATAGAGAAACCCAACGAAAGGAAAACTGTACTTATTCTGTGGTGATTAGCACAGAGACAAATCCTGCCCTACATGCAGATCCAATACTGTGAGATTTAAAGAAGTACGCACCAGAGGAACTCCGCAATGCTAGTTCGAATATTTCCCACTGCTCTTATGAGCAAACCACCGATTACTTTATTGTTATAGGTAAGCTAGTATGGCTTCTCGGACAGCATATTGTTAGGGTATTCGAAACTCGGTGTGAAACAATTTCTGCAAGGTCTGCTATATATAACTGCTGCTTTTTACTGCAGTTGAGAAACGCACTGCCTGTGTCAAGCTCAGTCGGGTTGTTGCGCCTCTGTACAAGTTGCGGCGGAGAAGCGCCATTGAGAGGAGAAATGCGGCGCTCTACACGTTGAAAATTTACAACAGTTGTTTGCAAAAGTGTTTGTTTAGCAACTTGAAGTAGACCATTGCGATTACTTCTTAGTTATTTGTGCTAATCATAAATCTTAACGTTGTTCGTTTATTTCGATATTGTTTTCAGGATTACCAGTCTCATTTAGTCCTGTGCCAACCTCACTTGCTTTTTGTACGATCATGCGTAATCTGTAATAATGAAGTACATGTCGAGCCCCTGAGTGTTACGTACTTATTAAACAGACTAAAAAAGAAAGAGAAGGGACAGAGATAAAAGACAGAGGAACAAGAGAGGAAGAGAGAAAGTAAGGAGACTCAAAGAAACGCAACCTTCCTCCCCAGCCCGCACTTCTTTGAGGCTCAGGATCTCAAGTGCGAAGGTGCTACAATTTTCCTTTGGCTTTAAAAGAAGTTATCATTCCTCAGTAAGGCTAAAGATGAGTGAGAAACGAAAAAACTCCCAAGCATTTCCCCGAGGGTGAACATGGTTAAGTGCGAAAGCACGGGGTGATGCTATGAGGGGGAGTAAAGTTAAAATCCGTTGGCATTCGCCTGTGAGTTAACGTAAACTCCCCCGTGTGATCAAATTGCGATTCCCAGGAACCATTACATCCATCGCACGACCCGCTCTCGACGGGAGACTGAGAGAGAAGGCGGGCGAGAGAGAGAGAGGGGGTGCGCGCGCAGCTGCAGCGAGCGAGGAGAGCGGAGGAGCGAGCGAAGGGGGAGGGGGTATAAGGCGCGTTACTGACACCGATATCAGCGTCGCGTCCGTGGCTTATTCGGTACAGCGTCGCGCTGTGGCCCACCAAGTCCTCTTTCTTTTAAAGATAGAGAGAAGACTGCGGACGCCGCCGACGGCAGTGGATGGTTTGGGGTCGCTTATGAAGTGTATTCACACTTAAAATGTTTGAAATGTTTATCAGGTAGCGCAGACAGTTTTGTCCTTTAGCACTTAACCTGGCAATTAAAGTTTTACGTGCCCTGCCCTGGTGGTCTAGTGGCTAACGTACTCGGCTGCTGACCCGCAGGTCGCGGGATCAAATCCCGGCTGCGGCGGCTGCATTTCTGATGGAGGCGGAAACGCTGTAGGCCCATGTGCTCAGATTTAGGCGCACGTTAAAAAAACCCAGGTGGTCGAAATTTCCGCAGCCCTCCACTACGGTGTCTCTCATAATCATATGGTTGTTTTGGAACATTAAACTCCTCATATCTGTTCTGTTCTGTTCTGTTTTAACTGTTTTTCTGTGGAGAGGTTGAGGTGCCTATTGCCTCGGCTACTCCATATCACAAAGTTCTGCAGCGAAAAATAAAATCATAATACAGAACGGTACCCAAAAATTAACAATACGGAAAAGAAAAACAAACATAATAGCACACTGAAACCAGTTCAAATATCATGCCAGTACACAGTTTTCTTCGCGCAGTTCACACAGTCATAAACTACTTACACGCACACCTTACTAATCTAATGTCAGTATATACATGACCACACTCTATATAATACCCATCTCTGGCTGTCTGTCATAGGCGCTTGTCCAGTCCAGTCTCCACTAAAAAGTCTGTCAGGAAGATTATCGCCTTTTTCTGGAGATGCATCTCCGGTCATGGTCCAAGTAGTTTCTTTATTGTGAGGGGCCGTATGTCCAAACTTGCTAATTTGTTCTTTAATTTTTCTGTTTCATTTGCGTATTTAACGCACTCCAAAAGAATATGGCGAACATTTTCTTCTGCATGACCACAATGGCATTCCAGTGAGTTAGATCGATGTATCTTGTGCAGGAAGCTGTTTGTGTATGCTACTTCCAATCCAAGTCGGTGGTTCAATGTCTCTAGGTGTCGTGGGAGGTCTGTCGCTATGGAAAATTTTCTGTGTGGATCAACTTCATAAAGTACCGTTTCCTTTGATTTAGGGCTCTCAAACCACTTCTCCATCGAACAAAGGTTAGCTCCTTGCGATATAAAATGACGAATATCCGCCCCAGACACGGGGATTGCGCAATCCCGTCCTTCCTTCAATGCTTTCTTCGCGAGGCTATCAGCATCTTCATTTCCCTTTATTCCAATGTGGCTGGGTATCCATTGGAACACGATGTTGTGACCCTGCGATGAGGCATATGCCACAGTTTCTGCGATACATTGTGCTATTTCACCATCTTTGCAAGGTGATCTCACATTTCTGATTAGCTGAAGAGCAGGTTTGCTATCAGTGCATATCACCCATTTTCGTGGCTCAGGATTCTCGCAGATAAGCTTAACAGCTTCAATGCAGCCACCAATTCTGTTGTCGTCGATGAAGATTCGTGCGATAATTTGTACATCTTCTTTTTCTGAATTTCGGGTATAAAGACCGCACAGGCTGACGCTTCTTCTGTGCATGATCCGTCTGTATATATCTTCGTTTTTTCATTATGCATTACATGAAGCTGATGAAGTACATGCCAATTAATCAATCAATCAATCAATCAAAGTTTTACGTTTACCTACAAGCAGCTGCAAAAGCTCACCAAGGTGTGCAGGCGGACTGAAGCCCACGATGTGGCATGCGATAGACCACCTTCGAACAAATACGGGAGCACGATAACACAGCCGTTCGGGGTCCTTAGGAAATTGCGCCGT